CACCCGCCACCCCACGCCACTCCTGAGGAACAACTTTCCTCGGCTGAATCTCGCGAGCCAAACCTGGCTAAGGCGTGAGAAAGAGTGGGTGGAAGGGCGGGGAAGCTGAGGTGCTGGCGGCTTTTTTTTTTTTTTTTTCCCGACGCCCCCCCCCCAAGCTCCGAAGATTTCTACGTGAAATGTCTCTGCTCGAGCCCACGCTCGCAGGAACATCCCCCCTCCCTTCCCCTCTCCTGCCCCCCCCACTCTTGCACAGCGACTTCTCTTAGCAGGTGAAGCGGCGGGGAGGGAAGGAAGAAAAGGAGGGGTTTTTTGGGTGGGTGGGGAGGACGGGACGGTGTACCCTCCATTGGCAAACTCCCCTCGCCTTACCTTGGTGGTTTTCTTCTGGAATGTACATCCTCTTGTTTTCATTGACCATTTAAAAGTAGAGGAAAGGCGGGGGACCGGTAGTAGCAACAATAACAACAATAATAATCCCCCAAATCGGAGTTCTGGTTTTAATTCCTCCAAATCCCAAACAGCCGAGATCGCTGGCGGCGGCGGCGGTGGTGGTGTCGAGGAAGCAGTTCAAGGAAGAAACCGGAGCTGCTGCGGCGATTCAATTCCCCGGCTCGGGTATTACCTGATTCCCATGATGGCATCGAAGCCCAAACCCTGATTCGCTCCAGTATTGCCTCCTTTAGTACAATTGCCAAGCATCCTCAGAGAACATCCGAGCTCCCGCCCGAGAAATTCAGCTCACCGGCGGTGAAGAAGTAGTAGCGCTGGGCTCTTCCCGGTCTCGCTGCTGCTGCTTCTTTCTCCTCCCGGGTTTTCTCGGCTTTGCAAAGCGGGAAGCTCCGGGGGCAGGAAAGCAAGACCGCCGCCCAGGGAAGTGGCCAAGAAGGGCGAAGGAGCATCCCCTCCCGAGAAGGGGGGGGGGAAGGAAGGGGGGGGGGAATGTCCGGAGGATTCAAATGTCACTCGCCCAAGTCAAGAGCCAGGAACTAGGAAAGGCGAGCGAGCAGGCAAGGCAGGCGGAGGGGGGTGGGTGGGAGAGGACCGGGAAGCAGCGAGTGCTGGATAGGCGGCGGCGAGCAAGCTGCTTTCTCCTCTTCCGAGCCAACGCCGTGCTCTCTGCTGGCAGGGAGCTTTTTCTGCAGAGAGACGACCGCTAGTCCCAGCCCCTCCAGTCCCTCGGCAGAGCGATCGCGCCTCCCCTCCCCTCCTGCCTCCCTCGCTCGCTCGCAGACAGACACAGCAGCCTGCTTTGAACTGCTCCAGATGTTGGCAGCGGCCGGGCCAGGAGCGCGTCGCCCGTCCCTTCGCCCGGGGGTTGGTTTAGGCACCGCTGGCAGACTTAAGCGGAAACTTTAACCTGCCTCCGCGGCCGTCCGCCTTCCCTTGGCCGCCCGTGCCGCTGGTCCCTTTCCTAACAGACATGACGTCAAAGAAGAAGGCGAGCGGGATTTGGCTTGCCTGGAAAAGTGGGGAGGGGGTATGGTAGATAGAATATGAGGAGTGGAGGGGGAGATGGGGTGGGGGGACACCGAGGTGAGTCCCCCCCAAGCAATCCGATTCACCTTACTCGGCGGAGGTACACATACCCCCCTCCACCCAGAACCCCCCGTTTCATTTTTCTCGCCCCTTCTGCCCCACCCTCGTTCAAAGCCACCCGCAGTTTTTCGCTCGCACGTCGGAGCGCGGGAATTATGTGAACCGGCTTGTACGGGGCAGCGATATGGAGTAAACCTTGAGTAGTAACTCTTTTGCCCGAAAAGGTATAAGGTAGAGGGGCGTTGAATGGGAACCGTTCGCAAGGCGAGAGGCTGGGTACACCCGGCCGTGGTGCCCGGCATCCCCGCACACCCGTGCAGAGGAAACGCAGCTGTGGAAACGGATTAAGCGGAGCGGATTGGGCGGACGGCCGACCCCCGGATCGGAGGGGGGGTTGTAGAGACGGGAGGAACATTTCTTCCCCGTCCATTCCCCAGCACCCAACGTCTCCCTACCGCTGGCCGGGAACGCTCTTGGGGGCGACCCCGCCTTCCCCACCCACTGGCCGAGACCGCGACGGCTCCTCTGCGGGAACCGAAGCAAGCGGCCTGGGCGTGTGTGCCTCTGGCAAGGCTGCCATGTTAAAAACGAGCCAGGCGAAGCGGGTCGCGTCCTTCGCCTCAGCAGCAGCGCCGCCGCCGCGCTCGCTTCAATCCGGACGGCCGCCGCTCCAACCCCATCGATCGGAACGAGCGAATCTGGTCGGATCGGGCGCGCCTGACGCCGGCAGCGTCCCACGCCCGTCCTGGAGTCTCGGTAGAGCGCGTGTCGCCCCGGTTCTCTACTGGTGTGTAGTGAAATCTTCCTTATTGCTTATTAAACTAATATTATGACAGAGAAATACCGAGGAAGGAAAGTTGGCTTACTTTGGAGCAAACTAGCCAATTCTACAATAAGAATGCAATGGATCTTTACTCGAGAGAAAGTCCGGCAAAGCCTTAGTTTTTTTCCGAAGGAAAGCGCGCGAACTACCCGCGCCTGGAATGCCGGGCAAGCGGCCCCGTGCAACCCGGAGGGACGGTCTTCTATGCAAGATTGTGGGTTGTTTTGTATGGTGGGGGGGAATATTAGTGTTATTCTTAACGCGATGGGACATGCAGGCTCGTTTGCACGATTGTGGACAGCCGTGGCACCCAGGGGACACCAATAGCAATTAGAAAGGAACCAGCTCCTGCACTGGAAGACGGGCGCTGACGGGGCGCATCGAGTAAAGGGGGAGAAGAAGTTGTAAGGAAGGCTCCGCAGCGTGCTGGTGGGTCAGGCAAGCAGCCGGCGCCAGCAACGAAGAGACGAGCACCGACTTTCAAGGGTGAACATTTGTCGGCGAAGTTTGCCACCTGATGTCTCCTCCTCGCCACGAGGAATTGATGGCGACAGCAGTTGAGGGGCTGAAAAACGCGCCAAACCGTCGACTTAAAACGTCCTGAGAAATGAAAGGAAAGACATTAAAAGAACTATAACGGGCGGGGCCGGTCAATTCAATTCCTGGTCCGTCTCTCTCCCCTCAGAAGATCTGCCCGATATGTGTAATCCAGTTCTCGGGATTTCATCAAAAACTCACTCTTTTTCTCATTCTTCTTGTTGGGGTCAGAGAAGATGGAGGGGGGGGAAAGGTAGGGAATTAGTTGTGGGCTCTACAACCATGGGTAGCTGTAATCCTAATTAGTTGAGCAAACCACACTTTCTGCAGATTCACAAAGAGGTGAATGGGAATTAAGCCCAGCACTGAGGAAAAGTCACAAAAAGTAGGGTTTAGTGCTGACTGGTTTACACGTAAGGTAAATTTGCAGCCAACGGACACAACATCCACCAGCTAGCTCTCTCTCGCTCGAGCGCTCGCGCGCTCTCTCTCTCTCTCACTCTCACTCTCACTCTCACTCTCACTCTCTCACTCTCTCACTCACACACAGAAACACACACACACACTGACTGACTGACTGACAGAAGGCTTGGGGCTGTGCAGGAACCACTTGAAGGAAGCTAATAGGAATCTGATCATAGCCATGAGGATGATGGAACCATTCAGTTGTCTCCAACTCGTGACAATTTTATGGGCCAAGTCTTTCCACATCTTCCGATCTTGCACTATTTCTTTGAGTTTTTCTGTGTTCTGGCAGGTGTCAGCTTTGATGGTATCCAGCCCTCCTGTTTTTTGGTGGCCTGGTTTCCTTTAACCACTAATCCTTCCAAGCATAATTGCTTTCTCCAGTGAAATCCCCCATATGATATGGCCAAAATAAGTGAGACACGGTCTTGGATTTTACCTTACAGTGATATGTCTGGTGTTGTGCACTCCAGTACTTGCTTGTCAGTCACTGTTGCTGTCCCAAGGAATACAAAGAAGCTTTCTCCAGCACCACACCTCAAACAAATTGATATTCTTCTTGTCTTGCTTATTTAAGATCCTACTTCCACAACCACGATCATAGCCATAATTCCAAAATACCACATTTGGCATCCCACACTATGGGAACCATATTCCTGT